TTGTTACTACTAGTAAGGCACCTGTTACTACTAGCGTGGCACTTGTTTCTACTAGCGAACCTTGTTGTGCCTAGGAAAATACTGCCTTGATGTTTGCTGCTTTAGAGGCGCTTTTGGGTGCGGGAACGATCGTCGAGAACGGTGGTCAAGTGTATCCCTCCAAGCTAACAGCGGTCCGATCGCTCCGTTCGTAGCGATGCCCTTTGTTCCGAACGTAGCGAACCTTGTTCCTAGTAGTAAGGCACTTGTTACTAGTGGCTTCTTGTTCCTAGTAGTACGGCCAGGAGCGCCCCTAGTAGCGTCCTGCCGCCTGCAGCTTTCAATCTGCATACCACCACCTGTCCAAGAAAGTTTGTTTTTGCATTACCCTTCTTGCGCTTGAAGTTGTAGCAGGGTTTCCATCTCACTTGTTGCTTGGTTGTGTTGGTTTTTCAGTGTGTTGCTTGGTTGTGGTGGGTTTGGTGAGGGAAGTTGGACGTCCAGTTGACTCTACTACCCTGCAGCAACGAAACAAATTGGACACCAACCAGGAGCATGAAATCCAGTTCAACCTCTTCATCGTTTACCACCCCACAATATGCCAGGGCCACCCTGACGTGCTCAAGGCGCAAGTCGCAAGCTACAGCAATCGCTCTGGAAGAATTGCACCTACTTCTACTCTGCAGGTGCTTCTGTGCGCCGGCGCGTTTGGACCAAAGTTTTGTTAAAGCTTGCTCTTTCAGCGTGTTCAACGCTTTCAGTCAGTATTGCGAGGTCAGTTTCACTGGCGAACAACGCTGGTGAGTCGGCCTTGAGTCTTTGCGTCAAGAGTGCGCATGAGGCATTTTGGCAATGGCCTCCAACCTAGTAGCGTCCTTGCTCCTAATAGCGATGGCCACCCTAGTAACGGAAAACATTCGCCGTAACATGTGAAAGCTGTGAGCTGAAGAGGCATGTTTGGAGACGATGTTGCGAGCTGGCGCCCCTGTGAACACTGCAAACAGAGCCACAGGCCGAATCTGGCTGCGACAGACAAGTATAAATGAGTGGACTACTAGTAGAAACAAGCTACTAGTAACAAGGGCATCGCTACTAGTAACGAAGCTGCCTGTCAACATGTGTCTAATGGGTCAGACTGTCTGGGAGCGATCCCGTGTGGCTTCTTTTGGGAACCGGACTGTCCGTACAGAGGGCCTTCTGAACTCTTTGTACTGAACGTGCGCATTGCGTTCAGTGCGTACAACACAAATCACCCATGCAACGAAGGGCTGCAGTGCCTTTGAACCTAATAACTTGTAGCTATTAGTGATGGCCTCCATCGCCAGTTGTGACTCTGTTGCTAAGGGAGTTGAGGGGTCTCACTAACAGCATCTCACAAGCATATCAGGCTGTGTTTGTCGATTGTGTCGCAGGAGTCTTGGGGTTGGTAACTTGACGGCAAGAGAAGGAGGTAGGAGAGAAAAAGCAAAAGAAAAAGCGAGGGAATGAGAGAGGAAGGAAACAAGAGCGCTGCTCGAACATGTTTCCTGCTGCTTGAAGCAAGGGAAGCCCTGTTAATGAACAAAAGCACGGAAAGAAAGATCCAAAGCTCTGAGGAGAATTGTCGGAACTTTCGATTAATCCCAGCTTTGCAACCCAACAGCCGGTAGATAGAAAATATAATGTCAATGTATCATAGCACGTAGAAAGAATGCCAACGGATGCAAAAGCTGTTGCCCACGCAGAAACATCCCACCAGATACACGCAACTGTTTGCGGCGTCGCTGCACATACAAGCTGCATTGTGCTGCGTGGAAAGAATACTTTGCGACGGAGACATGCACATTGATGCAGCAAATGGCCGGCATAAACACCAGTAGGGATGCTAGTAGGAACAAGAACGCTACTAGTAGCTCCTGGCCTTACTACTAGGAACAAGAAGCTACTAGGAGCAAAGGGCATCGCTACTAGGAGCAAGGACGCTACTAGTAGCTCCTGGCCTTGCTACTAGGAACTGCATCGTTTGCACGTAGCTGGAAACAGGAGCACACCGCTCTCCCCACATGCGACCACAGTCAGTTCAATTGAAGTTGGACTCAGTTTGATTGAAAGAGCCACATTCTTCACATGGATGCAGGGAACACTGCCTTGGCAGAAGCAGCCAAAGTGGGTAGCGAGGCCGGTGTGCCTGTGAAGTTCAATGGCCTCCAACCCGCCTGATGATTGGCAAATCAAATCGAGCGGGTTCTGTTGCTGTAGGCACTATGCCGCCGAATCATACAATATCAGGCAGCAAGGGCAGCGCGGCATGCTTCTGCATACTAGTAACAAGGACGCTAGTAGAAACAAGTGCCACGCTACTAGGAACAGGTGCCTTACTAGTAGTAACAAGAAGCTACTAGGACCTTACTTAATGAATTAGAATTAAAGCAATTTAAATAGAATTAAATTGCAGTAGTGGTAACAAGTATCTTCAGTGCTTTTCAGCACCGTGAGGCCAACGTGAATTGCTCCAATTCTCGGTCACGCCCTGAATAGATTTTTGCAACCGAGTCCTTGCTTCTAGTAGTTTCTTGTTCCTAGTAGTAAGGCCAGGAGCTACTAGTCTTGGGGATCCTTTCCTTCTACTAGGGGGAGGACGTCGCTCTTAGGTTGATTCTTTGTGGCAAGCGTTGCGCATCCGTCCTAGTCAAGTTAGTCAAGTGTTAGGCAAGGATCTTTGCGCAGCTCTGCGCAATTCGCCTGATTGGCACCACACGAGGGACCGTGTGGACAGAAACGCATTCGGTTCTTTTTTTGCGCTCTGTCCACAACCTGATGCCTTTGTTGGGCACTACGCTTCTATTCGAGAAAAGCCTCCAAGGCGTGCTGCCAAGACGCCCACCTAAGAGCAATGGCCTCCACTCCTCTGCAGGGTCTCATCAACTCTTCTGCTGGGACCTCTATGCCGTTCCCGCACGCAGACCTCGCAGCAGGCTTGCCCAAGCGCAAAACGCCACCCGTTTGCCCCAATGAACCAGAGGTTACAATCGCTTCGGGGTGTGGTTGGTGCCTTCGACGCACGGGGGGGTTGACTCTAAGGGTGTTAGTTCCATCGTCTCGTTGCGCATCTTCTTTTGCAAATTCGCCAGTCTGTGGCAACCAGGCTTTGAAAGCTTGAAAGCCAGCGTAGAGTGGCAAAGTTGTGGTGTTCCATCGTCGTATTACTACGCGTCGGCTGCCAAAAACATCAAATTCGCACCTGGTGGCTAGGTTGGAGGCCATGATATTTGTTGAACGTGGTAGGCTTGATGCAAGTGGCCAGGAAAGCCTTCGGTACAATTGGTCGAAAACTGCTTTGCAAGGAACACGGTTTCCCCCAGTGAGTATCTGATCTGTCAGGGGGGTGCGCCTTTGGACCACTTCGTTTTCGTTGGTGCGACTCATGCTCCTGCCTCTGAAGTCGCGCAATAAACCTGTGGCAATGTGCTACTAGGGGCTCCTGGCCCTACTACGAACAAGAAGCTACTAGTAACAAGAAGCTAGTAGAAACAAGTGCATCGCTTCTAGTAACAAGTGCCTTACTACTAGGAACAAGGACGCTACTAGTAACAAGGTGCATCGCTACTAGGAGCAAGAAGCTACTAGGGGCTCCTGGCATCGCTACTAGTAACAAGGTGCTCCGTTCGTAGCGTCCTTCTTCGATGTCTGAAAGCCACCGATGTTTGGCCGTCACAATCTCCACAAACGGCGCCCGCCGCTCAACTGCGGAAGGATCCGAGACGGGCCAAACATCGGTGGCTTTCAGACATCGAAGAAGGACGCTACGAACGGAGCACCTTGTTACTAGTAGCGATGCCAGGAGCCCCTAGTAGCTTCTTGCTCCTAGTAGCGATGCACCTTGTTACTAGAAGCGATGCACTTGTTTCTACTAGCTTCTTGTTACTAGTAGCTTGATCAAGGTCTTGCGGCCTGTTCACCACGCGCTCATCCAAGCCCATCAGGCTGAGCAGCTTCTACAGCCGCTTCAGGTTTTTCCACAGCGCACACGCCGCCGAATTCGTCTCAGGCAACAACCCCCAGCGAGAGTCTTGGGCAAGTCCCGGCAGTCTCCAGTTCATCCATTTGTGCACCTAAGGACCTAAGCAGAAAAAGCTCTCTTTGGACTTTTAGAAGCCCTTTCCCTCGGTCTTTCTTCTGTGTTGGAGGCTATACAGTACACAATAGTTTTTTCCTTCTATTTTGTCTTCCTTCTTCGCCTTGCTTCTTCCTTTCGCTTCGCTTCTCGTCTCACTTTTCTAGGCAAGAGACGCCTTTGATGTTGGCCTCAAAAGCTGGACATGACCAGGCGAGGCAAAGGCTTATAAAAATACAGCTCGAGCACAGACTGCACAAACAAAGGTACTGTACAACCTACCTTTAGTTTGTCCGTTCTCTTCTTTGAGCTTTGCAAGTTTTCACGATAGATGAAAAGCACATGTGAAGTCTGGAGGTGGTGCGAATGCTCTTGGTGGCAGGGGCCAATGCCGCTGCAGAGGCGAACATCAAACGTGAGAAAGAATCAGCTGTCTGGGCAGCACGCAGGTGTTCTTGCGCTTTGTTTATTACAATTCTAATGAAATTCTTATTGTTACTAGTAGTAAGGCACTTGTTTCTAATAGCTTTTTGTTACTACTAGTAAGGCACTTGTTACTACTAGCGTGGCACTAATCCTCCAGAACTTTCATCTTCTTCCGCGTTTATGACGAAAGCCAGCTGATAGGCTAGGCTGAAGTTAGTTTATGCAAACGAATTCAGGGGTGTGGGGGCAGGCGCGGCAAACAATCTTGGCCTGCTAGTGTTTCTATTTGTCAACGGATCTGATTTTTTGTGGGTTGGTATTGCATCACTAACATGATCACCACATCAGAGTAGACAAAATGCATCCTTTAGGTTACATGTGTATGGAATGCGCGCCGAAAAGTCACCTGCTGGTTTTTCCTGGCTCTCGTTTCCCCCTTCTCAGGTTTATTTTCTCTTTGGGCGTTGAACATGTTCGTAAATCTTGGACCTGCTGTCGTCCAATTGGCCTTTTCAGCTTGCCCTTGTTACGTTTCGAATCGTCTCTTTTTTGTCTTCAATGGGATTTTTCTGTTTGCTTGTTCTATTTTCTCGTTGCTTCTATTTCCGTTTTTCTTGGCTGTTTTCCCCCGTCCCGTTTTTCGCCCCTGTTCTTTCTATGTGATGTTTCTTTCGTTACTGCCTTGCTTTTTGTGACTTTTTGGACCTTTTCTTTGCATCTTTACTTGCGCTTCTTTTCACCGTTCCTAACCGTTCCTTCTTGCGCTTGTTACGTTTTAGACTAGTAGTAACAAGAAGCTAGTAGAAACAAGTGCCTTACTAGTAGTAACAGGTGCCTTACTAGTAGTAACAAGAAGCTACGTTTTAGACTAAACCTTTTTTCCTTGTGGCGACCTTGTGGTGCGTCTTTCTTGTTGTGCCTCACGGCCCTTTTGGCCTGCTTTTTGCCTTCCTTTTGAAGTTTTGCCTTCAGACCTTCAGCTTTTTAAGTGTGAAACCTTTCTTGTTTCGCTGTTTAAGTGGCTGTTTGATGCTCTTTGATTGCGTGTCATTTTTGCCCTTTTGCGCGTATTTCTTGATTTGGCTGTTGTCTTGTAGGCCTTAGAGACCTTTCTTGCTTTCCTTCCTTCCTTCGATCCTTGTTTTTTCTTCAAGCCTCAAAATGGTTTCCTTTTCTTTAGAGTGTTTAGACTGTTCTGCCACTCTTTGTTTTTCCTTCCTTGTTTCTTTGCATTTCTTAGGTCTTTCTTTACTTGTTCTTTCATGTTTTTCTGTGCTTGTTCCGAATTTTCAAAATTGCAGTTTCTCTTCTATTTGTGTGTCTGTCGTTCCTGAGCAGTCTCACCAATCTCACCAACTCGCAACTTGAAACGAGAAAGACTTTGGGGCACAGAACCCACACCTCGGACATGTTTGTTGGCGAAAGCGTGAGCAACGGACAACTACAGAAACAAAGCAAAGCGTCTTGCAGTTTTTTCTTTGAACAACACAACATCAGCCATGTGTAAAATGCGCAAAGTATGCACCGGACACAAAAAGCGGGGGGGGGGGTTTGAGCACAAGTTTGGCGCATAGCCAAGACATTCCTTGCTGCGCCGAAAAAGGCAACGCAAAGCCGAACAAAAAAGGCTTGTCTGAAATAGAAACAAGAAGCTACTAGGAACAAGTGCATTGCTTCTAGGAGCAAGTGCCTTACTAGTAGTAACAAGAAGCGCGGCGCCTCGTAAAGCGAAGCGTTGGTTTAACACAACGCTGGCGGCACCGTTGCCATTTCACGTCTTCAAAACTGGGCAGAACCTGCTCTCTCGTTACAATTCTAATGAAATTCTTATTGTTACTAGTAGTAAGGCACTTGTTCCTAGTAGCTTCTTGTTACTACTAGTAAGGCACTTGTTCCTAGTAGCTTCTTGTTACTACTAGTAAGGCAC